GAAAGTGGTGAATCGCAATTAGATTTCGTAGTAGCCTAGCGAGGGGCGAAGGCCTACCGTCCCCCACTCTCGAGACCCTTAATGTGCCCTATCCAAAACGTTTTACGACCTCATTTCGGCACATATGGTATCAGAGTGGCCCCAAATTCATACCAAATGAAAATCTCCGTAACCATTTTTATCGTGAACTGGCCTTTGACGTAAGCAGCAGCCCCTTTGATTTTGGTTTATTGACGAAACTCGCAAAATGAATTACCCTTCTCCACTTGTGTGCGTCGGAAAACTCAAAGCATTGTCATTTCCCATCGCTTTGAACGACGCTGACTATATGGTCATCCTACTTGCGCTAGAGTCCAAATTTCTGACGCTGTCAAAGTAGGAAGAACCGCAGTAAAACGATGGACAAGGAACGGGATGTGTTTTTCCTTCACTACTTCCTTGATGTTCTTGAGTGCCTTTCACGCCAATCCTTTTGCTCGACTCAGGAACTAGGCTGTTCATATGTTGACTTCCGACATAGATAGACGTAGCTGGAGCATACAAAGATTTTTATTCGTTCACCGTCGAAGGACCATCAGATACCAATCTGTTTCGTTTCTCATGAACATCGTCTTCGTTAGATCCATTGTCTGTCCACGTGCGTTGCCGAATTCGGCCGGAATTCGTTCTGCTTGCTTGATGTCCGTTATTATGAGCACAAGTCGCCTGCAAAGTGGAGATTATGTAAGTAGCAGCCGTCAATTCCAAATCTTCCCATTCTAAATTACGCATGACTTCGCAAGAGTCTGTCTCGAAACTGAAAAGTATTGGAGAGATGGAATCGCCTTACCGGGCCCCTCTCTTCATGTAAGCAATGTCTCGAGTGGTGATATCCCGGTCCCACAGGTGTTGTAGAGCTCACAGAGCCCTCTTATGTATCGAGTAGGATCTAATGTGGAGAAGGCAATGCTCTGATTCGGCGTAGGACTTCGGAACAATAGAGATGTAAATCAAGCTAAAGTTTCGAGGATGTGATCTAGCTCATAATGAAACTGTCCACCAAATAATCCTTACGTCCATCGCAAATGAAAGTTCTTCTGGAACTGTGAATCACCGTAGATGGTGCTGCTTAATATGATAAACGTGGACAGTATTGCACCTTACTCTTCCATTTCTTGTCGTGAGCACCAATGTGAAGTTCTTGAGCCATTCTTCTAAGGCCAATCTTGGTGTTGAGATCTTCAATGATAGCCTTGAAGAAAGCGTGGCTTACTCTGCAGAGCTTTTCCAGGATGGCGGTACAAATTTCAAGAATTTAGAGGAGATATGATAAGCGCGTCTGTTGGTTTGTTTGTGTACTTGTGTTTGTTGGATTGTTCGTTCGTTTGTGTGTGCGTGTGTGTGTGCGTGTCGATTTGTATGTGTGTCGATGGGTGGGCTTGTATGTTTTGCTGAAAATCGATAACTCTTGTTCTCTTGGACCGAACGTCCCACTTTGGAAGGATGCTGGTGGAGGGTCAATTTCAACACGAAAAAGAAGAGGGTCCGCCGTTAGTCGGGCGATTTTATCTAAGGAAAAAATGGGCTGATTGTAGATGGAGTTCAACATTCACCGAACGCAAGTAGAAGTATGGAATCTTGTCGTCCTACTTNAGAGGGTCCGCCGTTAGTCGGGCGATTTTATCTAAGGAAAAAATGGGCTGATTATAGATGGAGTTCAACATTCACCGAACGCAGGTAGAAATATGGAATCTTGTCGTCCTACTTCTCCCTCCACCTTTCTCCTCGCTAGCGTCAGTGTTCACATATGACTAGTTTTTCTTGCATTTTCAGTCAATTCGTAGGTGGACTAAGCTGAACAGCACGATTCACGACATCTGATACTCAGTTGATTGGAAGGGTAATAGCCATACTGTTGAACTCTATGTTGCTTAGTATGGCCCCAATAAAGCTCTGCTAATTGAGCCTTCTCATAGCCATAAACATTTTCCTATCTACGCTATCATAATTTTTTACCTGATTCCATTCCGGTTCTCTATGGAGATCGAACTTTATCGAAGTATAATAATACAAAATTATGCTTTTATGATTTTTCTGCTCTACGTTGCCCCTTTCCCCCTGACACTGATGTGAGGGCTCACGACTTGGTCTGTGCTTGGTATGTCATGAAAAAAGCTACCATTCGATATTTCGTGTTAAGCTAAGCCACCGATTTCCTCATTCTTTTCCTTCTTCCACCCCCTCGTAATTCTCAGCACACTTTGTCGCTGTCCGAAGAAACGTCAGTTATCTGCCTTTCCCGTCCTAGTTCTCCTTCGATGTCCGTCAGCGTGTTTTAGAGCCTCCAATCAAATTTTCCGTCTTTTCAAGCACTGGATTACTCTCATTATCTTTTAATTTCCTCCTTTGTGAAATTCCGATATGTTACCTTTTAACATTCTGAATCAGTCTATTCATATTTTTCCCTTCACTTTCTTTCCTCACGTGTATTCGGAAATTACGGCTCGTATGAATGGCCTCATTCCCTCTTACCCATTGCTAGTACTGACGATTGTCATCGGCTTACACTTCACTTTTAGGTCATAGAATCTCTTCGGATGTGCGTATGACGGGCTTCCGATTGGGTTGTGGCGGCAAGAAAGACAAGCTTTCGCCGTCAGGGACGAAGCCGACCGCCCTCGTCGATGAGGTGATTGACTATTTCAACGTTCAATTTATTGGTTCACCGCATCGCTTTTGATTTATGAGCAGCACTTTTTGTTCCACTTCATACATCAGCCTTAGGTTATATCTGCCATGAGCCCCAGTTGAGCTATGTCTGCTATTTTCGTGAAGAAAGTTAAAAATCCGTTTCTCAGAAAACTATCAACTTCGTGTGGTCGATTTGGGCGAAAAAATTGATTAGTCATACATTTCGAGTGGCTATAGGTGCCATGACATGACCACGGTTATAGCATTAAATCTAAGATCGAAATCCAGGCCAACCGAGCCTTCTAATACACAAGCGCCCGCCATTTAGTGCCAGACTAGTTTGGGATCATGAATACTTTGACTTGCACCGCAGCTTACCGCCCCAAATCGATCACCGTGGACGTAATAAAAATCCCCTAAAATTCTTGTGTGCATGAGAAAACTCTACTGATAAACGGTATAAACTCTGAACCTTCATTTTTAGGTGTCGGCGCCCCGAGGCTTTGGCATACGCAGTTACTTGCACAATTTCTATCTCTCCCCAACAGTAGAAGATATGGAACAAGGTGGAGCGTGGTAAGTACACATACAACAGTTCATTGAATCGTTTGTACAGATTCCTCCAGTATTGGTGTCTTTGAATGGTAGCGTCGCATAGGTAAGTTCAAATCACAGAAGCCTTCCGGGAGAATTACTCCTCTTGTCCTTAAAATTTCAGCTACTTGTTACCGGGTGTGGTGCAGTAGGAACGAAATTGTCGCGCCGCGGCGAGAGGACGCCGCGCTCGGAGGAATGTAGCAGAATGCAGCAACAATTAAGAAATACAGGAACGATAGACATAGTAGTAGAATCATGTCAAAAGTAATAAGCGCATAGCGATTGAGCTGTATGAAGCTGTTAGCTGCTAGAACTGTTATAACTAGGCAAACGCT